CTGGCAGTGCCGAGTTTGAGACTCGAAGCCAATATCGGTGGTTCTCTAAATTACGGTCCCTTTTTAGGTCCCCAATATAGTACGGCACCCTTATAAAAAGGACCCTAAAAGGGATAGAGAACTACCCATATTCGGACGAAGAACGATAATGTAGGGGCCTAGATAATCACCAATATTATTTTAGGGGGTGGGTCCTTATTATAATTATGGCAGAATGGGCCCCAAGACCCCATTCTAGTTTTTAGGGCCCCTACATTACTTTGGCACATGAGGCTCCTTTGTGTTCGACACATGTTTGGGCCGAAACTCATTGTCATTCTGATTCTGATGACGAGGCAAAATTCTGATGATGCTCAGTCGTTCATGCTGCTGGCGATGCTGATGCATGTGACAGCATTTGACGACCACACAGTTGTGTTTCACAACAGGAGGGATCCGTCTGTGGTCAATGCAGGGAGGTGTGCAGTTCTGAGCTTCTTCTTTCGAGCGTGTTGGTGCTCCAACAGGGTACCTAGGCCCTAAAAGCCCTAAACCCTACACCCTAAACCCCTAAACGAGAGGGAAAAAAAACCCTAAACCCTAAGCCCTAAACCCTCAAACCCTAAGCCCTAAACACCTCAACCCCTAAGCCCTAAACCCCTAAAACCCCTAAGCCTTAAGCCCTAAACAAGGTACAGTCTCGACGGCCTCTGCGAAATCCACCGCTCGCCTACGCGGCACCGGCGGCTTTGATTCTTTTCCTTCCTCGGAGGCCGGCAACCTCCGGCGAAGATCTGAGTCTTAAGGGTTCAGGGTTTAGGGTTTTAGGGCTTTAGGGTTTTAGGGTTTAGGGTTTAGGGTTTTAGGGTTTAGGGTTTAGGGTTTGAAGATCTCTGAACACACTTGGAGGTTCATGGGTAGCCCTAATATGGGTTATAAGTACAGTTATCCTACTTGTAACCTCACTTATTAACAAGGTGGTTATAAAGTAGGTTATAAGTGGGGTAACTATACTTATGACCCATATTAGGGGAGTTATACTCCTACTTATAACTACCCATGAACCTCCAAGTGAACACAGAACCCTGAAAGTTTGCTACGTTTGCGCTTTAAGGTTTGAGGCTTGGGTTTCGGTGCTGGGACCTGAGCCGAATTTGCAAAGACCCGCGCAGCCTTCCCACCGGCCGGGACCAAAACAGAAGGCTCTCAAAGCGCACCCAACAGCACGAGCATTAAAAGTCAACCCCAGAAGCCAGAAACATATGCCCGATATGAAGATTATCGAGTTGAGAGACGTCATCGGAGTTGATGGTGGCGTGAACGTGGCTTCACGCTGCTCTGGTATTTAAAATTAGAGAAAATTTGCCCCGAACCGAACCGTGAAGCAGAACCTTAAGCACGCAAACGTCACATTGCGGGTTGTTTCGGAGAGATGCGTGCTTTCTGCGGAAGTGAACCCACAGCCAGTCTTCTGATAATTCTAGAAATTGGAGGTGTCGTTTCTGTTTTCGTTGAAACAGACTTCTTTTTGGTAGGCGAAAAATTCGAATTGAGATAAGCCTCCAGAAGCCTAGCACTTGCCGAAATCCTACAGACCAGTACAGAAGGTTGACATGAGGACAGTATCGCCCCGAAAGAAGTAAACCGTGAATAAAAGGCACCTCAGCTGATTCGGTCGTCGGCCACAATCACCACACAGCAGCTGTAGCTGTGTGCGAGTCGAAATCGCACACCCTGTCTGAATGGTTGCTTGGGGTGAGGGTTTCAGGACAGCCTCTGAACTGTGAGCCCAAGCCAGTTTCAATTGGGCTTTGAGGCTTAAGACTCTGAGGATTTACAAGGGTTCCCAGACCCTGAAATTCCGCCTGTTGCAACAGGCACTCGCGACAGTCCCGAGCCTTTCGAAGCCAACGGCGAAGCTCTGGCGAAGCTGGAACAGGTGGGCGAGCTAAGCCTTGGGTTATGACGTTTAGGGATTTGGGGCTTGCTCTCTTAGATTCACTTCGGTGCAAGACTCCGTTCATGGATCCAGGTCCTGCGCATTTCTGCGTAAGGTGTGTCGCAGAAGTAGAGCCCTTCCAAAGCCGGAACCTGTTCAGTGACCATTCCGAACGTACTCAAAGCTGAATGGCCAGCAAGTTGCAGGCTCCCAAGCAAGAGTTTGAGTCCAAGTCCTGTGGATCCTCTGGGCTTTCCGAGGGATGAGGGAACTGCAACGGAAGCCCCGAAACCCTAAACGGCCGTAAACCCTCACTTCTCTGCCGAGGCCCCTCCCTCACTGCCACCCTGCAAGAGCTACCGATCCTCAAAGAGGTGAAGCTCCCCACTCTCAAGGCCTGGGTACTTTAATCGGTCAGAGCAAGGACAGAATATTATGAACTAGATTTCCCGGTGAGGGTAGCAATTAATTGAAGATTACTGGTGAGCCAAGCTCTAAGCCATAAGCCTTGGGGACGTTCAGGAACGTTGGTGTATGTCAGGCATTTAGAGCCAGGGAAGTTTGTGGCTGTGAAACTGAAAAGTACTTTGGGAGCTATTGTTGCAATGCCCCAAATCGGAACCTTCTGAACCATTTGCATGCCTCACATCCTGATCTCATCACAGAAGGACCCCAGAAGGATGTTCGAGCTTCATGTAAGCAGCAAAACAGCTTCTTGAGGGAATCAGCTAAAGGGCGAGCAGGTTAAAGCTAAACTTCAAGCCGTTGACTATGCATGGCTTTTCCGTGTGCGACTGTCAAACACACGGTACGGCTTCACAGAGGGCTTGATGGTGGCTCAATGCCTAGGCACATGTTCAAGTTGTTGCCTGCTTGGGCTATCCACAGCACTGAGGTCTTGGGTGGCAAACCCTTACTACAGGTAGTTACCTGACGCCAGAAATTGCGTGAAACAACGCCTTCAACTAAACTGGAAACCAGACTGAATGGGTACCAATCCAGGGCAGGCTCGATTAAAAGAACGGCCCGGCTGGTTGAACCAGACCAGATTTGTTGGCCAAGGAATATCAATCCAAGGTAGGATCTCAACTACGACTGTTTATGCTGGTGGATGCGCGAAAGTCAGGACCTGCAAGCTGCGGCTGCAGATGCCAGCATCAGCGGAGCACTGTCCAAGTACTTGGACCACTTCAGCCGCGGTTGGCAGGCAACCAGGGGGTCTTGGGCAAAAAGGCAGAGGCACCGTCCTAAAGTCCTAAAGCCAAGCAGCATGGCGTCAGGCTCCCTAGTTTGTTTGTTCAGGCGCTGGAGCATCAGGCGAGACATCTAGGAGATACCCAAGTTGTAGTAGAAGGAACAAAGTTGGAGCTCTACCCCATTCCAGAGCCGCTGCTTGAAAAACACAGTTATAACCGAAGATGTATTTGCGATGAAAGGCACCCGGGTTCAAGCTCTCCCCCGGAACCCAGGTGCAGTCCCTGCCCCAGCCCCAGAAACCTGTGCGGCAAAGTAATATAGGGGGCTGAATCATTACCAATCGTATTCTTAGGGGTCCTTACTACAACTGTAGTGTGATATACCCCAAAATCCGATTTTACTTATTAAGGCCCCTATGTTAGGTGGCCCCGGAGCCACGACCACCCCGAGCCCGGCATGGTCGTAGACCGAGCAGATGTTTCCAAAAACTTGAATCGACAAGGTATCCCAGACCCCCAAAAGGATCTAAAAAATAGATCCCCTAAGGGGTTCCTATAAAGTACCCTTTAGTACTTAGGGTCTCTAATTCCAAAAGATTGAATCGACAAGGTATACTTGTGGGCAGTTGTCAAAATTATGGTCCCTTTTGGGGTACCCTAAATAATAGGTGCCGTATTATGATGAGGACCCAAAAAGGGACCCTAATTTTGACAACCACCCTTGTAGATGCAGAGCCCAAAGCATCAAAAGGTTTCCAGGATCACGCATCTCCCAGAATCCCAAGAGCACCAAGAGCACATGGGAGTGTCAAGTGCTGAAAGGACCTGGGATCGGTCACGGAACGACTCCGACGCCTGAGCTGCACGCTTGATGCGCAGGGGCTGTGGGATTTGTCGTTTTGCGTGCTGGGCTGACCTCTTGGGTGGTTCCAACTGCCATCCAGACCAGAACTGAATCAACGAGTACAACAAAAGCACGAGGTGACTTTAATCTACTCCTCGAAACCCCACATGGGTAATTGACCGCTTTGCTTCGGGAAACCCCTCTGTACGCTTCGCCTGAGGGTTCGTTGCAGGTGACGGGTGTGGGTCCCTCAAGGTGCTTCAATGGAAGAACCCTCCAAAGTCCGAGACCCCCGTGCCCAAACCTTAGCCTCAAACCCCAAGCCCTGGAAACCCCCAAGCCATGGGCCTTAACAATCACCTATACTACTTTGCGGGTTCCTTATTATAATTATGCTATACTGGGCCCCAAGACCCTATTCTAATTATTAAGGCCTTAAATTAGGGTTAAAACAAACCGTTCGAGCCTTCAGCTACCAAGGACTCTCGGAGTTGAAGCGAATGCTCCTGCGATTCTGTTGAGAATATCTGTGCATGGGGATTTTTGGTGGGGCTCGACTTGTTTTGAGGGCTTTGCCTATGTAGAACTCGATGGTAGAAGAATCCTCGGAACAACAGACAGAGGTTGGACTTCAAGCTAGACCTGCAACTTCCCTCGTCCTTTGCGGCTCAGCAGCAAATAGCTCTGCAGAATTTGCGCCATCAAGTTTACAGCAATGATTTGTTGGTGTCTACGCTGCCTTGGCCTACTCATTGTCGCGAGTTGATGCTCAAATGTGATTCTAGCTTGTCGTCCGTGGTACCCCAGCAGGAGAAATCCTGGCCGTTCACTCTCCGTTGCGTTGACTGAAGCTGTGGCGATTTTCGACTGTGGACTGCCATGATCCGAAACATGTCTCTTGCTTTAAAGTCCCTGTGCCACAACCAGGGATTAGAGGCCACTGTCGGAAAGCCTATACCTACATACCTACATACATACATGTACATATATCTACCTACCTATCTACATGCCTACCATATTCATGTCGCTTGTGTTCAATGAGGCACCCGACTTCGACGTCGCTGGCGCCCGGCGACTCCTGGGTGCGTGGCAGGCGGGAGCAGCTAAAGCAAATCGGGTAGTTCTGTAAATTAGGATCTTTTTAGGTCCCGAATAAAGTACGGCTCCCCTATGAAAAGGAGTCTACAAGGGGTTCTAATCAAAAGAACTACCCAAATTCGCTTCTATCACAGAGTTCGATAATTCATCCCCCCGGTCCCCGAAGCCCCAGACCCCACAGAAACACTGCCAGAACAGGTTTTTGGGTTAGGCTACGCAATGATTAGCAATTACAACTATATTCGGAAACCCTAAGCATGATATTAGTAATAGGCTTCTATCTGAGGTTTTAGGGTTTCTCGCCTTTCGCCTTGAAGTCCCGTGGCGGCTGGGGCTGTTCGTGCTGTTAGAGGGCAACTATTGCAGTATTCACTGCATGAACGTTGCTGAAGGTCGTCAGGCCTTCTGCAGGGCTGGCGCTCTTCCGGATGTTGTGTCGACCTGGGTCAAATGGATCCAGTTGGAGTTCTTCGGCGTTCTTCTGGATTTCTACATGCGTGAAAATCTTCTGCAAAGTCAAGGAATTGCTTTTTACTTCGACTTCGTGACTCGACCTATCACGAACATCAGTTTATCAGCTCTTTCAACAGCGTATCCGACCGGCTCGCTCTTATTTTTGTGAAGATTTTGCGTACCTAGCCTTGGGCATCTCGCCACGAGTGCGATGTGCTGCGCGGTTTCTGTGTTGGGATGTGAGTGCCGCTTCCAGGACAGCCCGTCGGAGAAGCCTCAACTCAGCCGCTACTGGCAGAGGCAACGCAGATGTATTAAAAAGGACTTTCGCTTTGGGATCATAGGATATTACTGGGCTTTGATGTTTCCGGTCCGGGACTTTGGGGTCAAAGGGGTACAGTACAGAGATGAGATACAGAGAACTTGGAAGCAGGGAACCTTGCAGAGGCCAAGGAGACCCTAAACCTATAGTAAAGCCTAGTCTAGTTTGCTATAGTACATTATAGTATCAAGTTCAGGCCTCGAGCCCAATGCAGTATAGCACAGTACAGCACAGTATAGAATAGTATAGTATAGTATAGTATAGTATAGTAGTATAAACAGAGTATGTGAGCCCCAGTTCGATCCAGGAGAGGAGTCGATGTGGCCGTGGGCGCACTACCGCGACACTTGTCTCAGCTACGCGGGTGCTAAGAGTACAAGACCTCAGTAGTAGAGTAGATAGCCGTTATCCCTTTTGCTCTGTCACAGTTTATGGTAACATTGTACATTCTTAGTTCTTAAACTCAATAAAGGAACAAACTTTGATGTTTAATACTATCCCAACCATGAACTAGTTTGGGGTACTAGAACCCCCATATAAACCCAAAGATTAGCCTTGTTTCCCTACGATACTGGACAAGTAAGAACCTAGCGCTCGAGGAATTAGGGTGTTCATCAATTCCCTGGGTTCTTTGGCTTACTCATAGTCTGTTTACCCCGCAAGACCCTACACCACTTCTTCAGGTCACTATAGTGGTTCCCTAAACCCTAAAAAACCTAAACCCTTGATTCCGGTTGGCATATGTCTCTTTCCTCGTGATCTGAACCATTGAGCACCAGAAGGATTCTTTCTGGGGTGAGCCGTCTCCGCAGCCAAAGGGCCTTAATATGATGATTCAAGGTATATAGTGTAATTAAGGGGTATTGGGCTCTCTGGGCAGCCTTGTAACCTCACCGTAAACCTCACCTAACGGACTCTGAGCCCGAGAAGGAGTGGCTGTAACCCAGAGAGCCCAAGACCCCTTAATTAAACTATATACCTTAAACGATAAGGGGCCTGAGATTATGATTTAAGGTTTCTTCCTTAGCTAAACTATATATCTTAAACGATAAGAGGCCTAAGATTATGATTTAAGGTTTCTTCCTGAATTAAGCTATAAACCTTAAACGAGAAGGGGCCGAAGATTATGATTTAACGTATACTCCCAATCAAAGGGGTATTGGGCTCTCTGGGAAGTGCTGAGGAAGCTACCTCCTCGGCCTCGAGGACGAGAAAGCGGGCTGTAATAACGTAGAAAGGGGCCTTTCACCGGGTTTTACATTTGGGCTCTATACAAACAGTCAGCATTCAGGGATATGCATTGAGATTCTGGTGTCGGTTTAACAGCGCCGTGAAGCTTTCGTGTTTCTTGTGCGGACGTTCGGAAGGCCGCAAATCTCTGGTTTGCAGAGAAGCCCCAAACAAAGCTCCGGAAGGGATGGATACGTGAAGTTTGCTTGCCCTCAGACTTGAGAATTGAACGCGGCACTGAAGCCGTTAGAGAGGACGTGGAGTGTCTGTTGAAGATCTGCGAGCTCTCTGCACGTGTTTATTGGTTCTTCTCGGACGACAAGGAGGATTTGAGCCTTGGCCGCAAATTGAGCGTAAGCCTTGACTACACAGCTCAATCCGCGCACCCTGCATGTGTACCGAAGGGAGTAAAGCGTTTCCTATTTACCGACTATGTACTAGGTCCAGGTATGTTTTTCTTCCATTCGGGTTGTCCCGTGTGTGGCATGAGCGTGTTCGTGTTGTTAGTAACACCTGTGCTGTAAGAAATTTTGCGGGCAACATGCTGCCTGGGAATCATAAGAAAGGTGCTGACTAATGCAACAATCCGCAGTGTCAACAATCCAAGTGCTACTCTAGTTTTACGCTTGCTGATATGACGAAGATATGAAGACGATGACCGTGATTGTGTTTTCTTGACTCGTACAGATATGTTTGTCTGGCTTGCTGTGAGCGCCGTGACTCTGTGGGCATGACGACTGCAGGTGCTCGCTTTGGTGCCCAGCATGCTACTCAAAACACCATCAAAACCCTAAGGCCCTAAGCCAAAACTCCAAATCCACCCCCCAAAAAAGTTTTTGAAGCCCTCAGACTCTACCTGCCCTAAATGCCTGATCCTGAACAGGTTCCAATATCTCGTAACAAAATGGCTTCTGATAAATGAAAAGCCTGCTAGGATTCAAGATTGTTGAACCCGACAAGCTTGAAGAGCCAACAACCCTGAAACCTATAATTCGTAGAAGAACCAAAACCGACTCGACAAAGAATAGATTTTTCTATTTTACATACTCCCTATATATATATATATGCACAGTATATTATATTGTATTTGTACCAGGATATACTCTACATATAGTTTTTATGCAGACATATATATATATATA